GGCAAGACAATCCAGCTATGAAAATAGTCTGAAGCATTCCCTAAACAGCCGAGTGCATACTGCGTACCGGTGTACGTACGCATGAAAATTCAAGAAACAATCGGCTGCGCAATTTCTGATAGTGGTTCAAAATTGCACAATTGTTGACTATTCTGGATTCATATTAGATAGCAATCATCATCCTGTAGGTGCCTGGCTCTGTACTCAACATACAATACTTACATGTATGCACATCTCTATTGTGATCTGCATGCATGTCTGACCAGTACACTTGACTTCAAATTCAAATATTTTCAAAAATCTGACCTTCAAATTTGATCGCAGTTTAGTTGAGGAACTTCAGCAAACGGGCTCACGACAGATAGCTCCTGCTTAGAACACCATGCCTAGGTGTTAGAGACTTCAGCATCGCTTTCCAAATCTCTTTGGTCTCCAGCATCCCCTGCGTCCGAGTCAGCTGCGATCTTTTGAATAGCAGCAAATTCGTAATCCTCAGAAAACGACTCCGACACAATTTCGCTGTCTCCAGAATCATCCTCAGAGTCATTACCCGCCTCACACTGCTTCACAGGACTCCTTCCATCGACACAGAGTAGTTGAGCTACTTACCTTGCCGAGAAACAGCAGGGCAAGATGACGAAAACGAACTTTGAGCAAAACAATTCATTTGAACGATATGCCAAAATACGCACTTCAAACTCGATGCTCGCGGCTGTTCTGCTGTGCAGACTGGCCACATACGCCGCGTACACGTCGATCAGGGCCTTCAGACCACTGAGGAACAGTTCCAGGCCCCACTGATGTTGAGGCATCAGTACAAACGCGACGTACACTGAGGACGTATATATACGTCGTCAGTGGGGCAGGTGCACACGTCATGACGTATATATACGTCGACAGTGGTGAAAGGGTTAAGGGCCATCCTTAAACATAAAAATAAATAAATAAAGGTCTTGGATCACCTAGTTTAACATTACACCTTAATTTTCTGAAATACCAAAAATATGTAAAAATCATGAAAATCTCGGCCACATCCAAATTAGGAAAATCACCGTCATTTAAAAAAATTCAGGTGAGTTGTATGTTGGTACGACTCCGAGTACTACTGCACATGTTTATGAGTAATCTTGCATGAATGTACAAAATTGAGAATGTGGTGTGTGAAAAGTGCAACGTACCGGTACAGGTCAGATCTCGCTATAACGACCCCCGCTATAACATAAACCTCACTATAACGTACAAATGTGAATGTCCCTGCCGAAACCGCATCACTTCTGTACAAAATTCCCTCGCTATAACATAATCCGCAATAGCGTAATGCTCGCTATAACGCACTGTTTGCTGGGTCCCGGGCGCACGGAGACCTCAGCATAACGTAAAAACTCGTATAAAAATGATTATGTACACGGCATGCATGCCTTCTCGCGACGAATTCGAGACGGAGCCGTCCACCTCGGAAGCAGGGGGCCGTCCACCTCGGAAGCAGGGAGTAGTAAAATACCGGTATTTTACTACTCCCATTACTTTTTATAGGCTCTAATCATGTCACATGTACACGTACACGCACTACATGACTCTTGTCACCCCTTTGCTGACAAGCCTGTACACATCGTTGCTAGTCATTATCATACCTGTATGTAAAACAGTACAGTTGTAATCAGTAAGTGAAGAGCGTCATTTTGACATACATAATTGCATATTGGTGTGCCCAACTCACTATAACATAAACCTCGCTATAACATAATTTCTCCCATCCCCCAGAGATTACGTTATAGCGAGGTCTTACCTGCACCATTTTTTTGTTTTTGTTTGGTGTCACGTACCCAATAGACCGATCCCCTTATTATACTGGGTTCGAGCACGGGGGCAACCTCACTCGCGATCGAGCTAGTTTTTGAACGTGACAGCATCTTTGACAGTGTGTTTCAGGTTTGTTTTGGAATGTCTTCTGCTTAGTTCAAGTAGTTTGCGATGGCTTCAAGCGGTGCTAAACCTCCTGCTGGTAGGAGCAGAGTCTCCGAGAGAGACATGGACTGTGATGCCGCTGCAGGATTTTTTCAAGGCGCGGGAGGGAACGATCTCGGGCCACAAACAGGAGTTACTCCAGAGGTGAGTTTTTTTGTTGTTGAAATATTCGAATCGCGAATCGTGTTGTGAGACTTATTTTGTGCCTAGGCTACAGCAAACCATATTTCTTTCTCCTTGCGATCGGTGATGAAGATAAGGCCAAAACAAAAAATAGGCTTGTTTCCGGTCGGCGACCCCTCAAAAAGGAGACTCGGTCGGCCGGAATGAAACTTTTTTTGGATACTTTTTTTGGTTCCTCAATCGTTGTGGTATTGATGGACAAGAGCACCTACACATGTACATTGTACATATATCATGGCAAGGATCAATGTCAAAGTTGACTGACTCACTGTTCTTGTACAGCATGTGGTGTATTCCTGTTTTCGTACATCCTGAGAAATCAAGCAAACAGTTCGAGTCCTTCCAGCTCCGT